TCAGTGCCCGCATGGGGAGGCTTTGGTCGCAAAGGTGTAAGGATCTGCGAGCGACTCGCCTGTGCTATTCTGTGCATGGGAGGAACAGAGTCGACCAACATGCTGATCTACGGGGCCAATCGGAAGGGAAAAGGGGGAGGGGGAGGGGGGGGGAAGAGGGAAGAGGAGAGACGATACAATAACTGAGAGCAGGGCCGAATGCAGCGCGGATATGGGTAGTGGGTTTGGGTGTGCTACAAGTACAATTCCTAGCGGGCGCCCGCGCGGGTTGTCTTGTTGACTTCCGCGGAATCGGGCAGAATGGGAGGGGGCTTTGGAAAGGCTAGGTAGGGTAAGTGGTAGAGTAGAGTAGAGTAACTCTAGGTGTGAGGGCTGTTGGTTGAGTGTGCAAGTCAAGTGTTCCTAGGCACGGGTATGGACTGTGGTAAGGTACCGTACCGATTCCGTGTATGGATGTACTGTGGTATCTACCATGTATGGCTGGCAAGCATGCCGAGCTGCGACCTGGTGCTCCCTGCTGCCATCAGGCCATGGGCGCTGGGTGTTGCACTGTTGCTGCATGCTAAGATTGCCCAAGGGTGGAGGCACTGGAGCCCTGCGTGGGAGGGGGAGGGAAAAGGTTACCGAGACTTGCATAGGGCGCTGTAACCGTGGTTCCCCATCGAGATGGTGGCAGTGCCTGAGTAGGCACTAGCCTTCCGTTGATGTTTCCGCGTATGGATTGGGGAGTGGGAGAGAAGAAGAAGAAGAAGAAGAAGAAGAAGAAGAAGAAGAAGAAGAAGAAGAAGAAGAAGAAGAACGAGTTGAGAAGAAAACGTCGCTCATTCACGACAAGCTCCCAATTGCATGGGTTGGGACAAGGGGGGGGGGCGAGGGCAGAGGAGCGAGAAGAGGGGGGAGAGGGTGAATTGGTGTCTTGCGGCACGGGCACTAAGCTTTCGCTACATGCGCGTGTCCGGCAGCCATGGTTAGACCCTGTAGCGAAAAGTCTCGTTGTGTCGTAGTCGTAGTCGTAGTCGTAGTCATAGTCGTAGTCATAGTCGTAGTACCTAGTCGTCGTCGTGTGTCTGTTGCTGAGGAGGGCAGCCACCCGTCGTCCTGGACTTTGAACCTCAACCCTCAACCCTCATCTCTCTCTCCCTCTCCCCCTCCGCCCCATCCCTCCCCCCCCCACTTTGCCCGCCTGGGGGAGACCTCGCACGCGTACCTACAAGACCATAGCATCTCCTAGGCTTCCTTCCTCTAGTACATTCACCAGAACCTCCAGGCTCCACACTTATAGCGCCATCGCCCACGGCTCAAAGACGACGCTCCGTCCCGCCGCGCGCCCAGACGCCCGACGTTGGCCACCCACTGCAACCACTTGCTCGTAATCGTGTAATACATACTACCTACTTCCTCCCCGTCCTCACCCTTCACAACTGTGCCCTCCCTCTTTCCCTCCGCTCTGTGGCCCAGTCCTATGCATTTCGCGGTTTTGGGGTGATCGCTGGTTGGAGGGCGCTGTGGGGGTGGTGTTGAAGTGTACAGGGTAAATGTATAAGGATATGTGATGTGGTAGTTGAGTCTTGGATGGGCGGGCAGGTGGGTGCGGTTGGTGCGGTGAGACCGGCGTGCGGGGGAGTGTTGGTGGAGAGGGGTGGGTGAGGGGTGGTGGAATGTTGTTAGGGTTTGGGAAGTGGGGGGGGTGGATGGGGTGGTGTGTGGTAGGTGTAATTGATGGGTGGG